CAAAAAAAAAAAAAAAAAAAGGAAGAAAGAAAAAACAGTTAAATAAATTACAGCACATCCATACAATGAAATCCTTCGCAGGTACTTTAAAATAATTGAAAAGACGGAAGACCCTATCTATATGCTGACAATGGACAAGATCTAAAAGCAGAAAGGTGTGCACAGTGTGTGCTTAGCATCATTTTAAAAGATTTTTAAAGTTTACATTTGTTTCTATCTCTGGAAGACATAAAAAGAACTAATAAAATTGGTTGCCTCCAGGGAGGTACAAAGGATGGCTAGGGGTTGTGAGGCAGACTTTTTTTCCAGATAAATGTTTTACTTTAGAACTTTAGATTTATAGAAAAGTTGCAAAGATAACGGAGTTCCCGCACACCCATCACCCAGTTTCTCCTACTGTTAACATCTTTGATATGACCCCTGCTTTCACTACTTGAGCACTTTACTTTCTAGCACTACAAAATAACCACAGGTTCATCTTTAATTTCCCTGCCCCACCCTAGAGGCAGCCTTTTCTCCAAGAAGCCCTCGTCCTTCTTACTGGAGAATGGTCTTTAGAAACCTACACCTCGGTGTAGACATGCTCACTGCTGTAGGGTGCTTCTACGCCCTTGGCAGAGAGCGCTGGGAGAAACACGCAGGGATCTTAACCCACATGTGCCTAACATTACTTCTATATCAACCCATATATACTAAACAAAACATAAGATCACACTGAAGTCTCCAACTCTAATCCAGCACCACAGGGTTCACTCCAGCCTTCCCCTTTGCTTATTTGGTTGTTTTTTTTTTTTTGAGTTGGAGTCTCACTCTTTTGTTGCCCAGGCTAGAGTACAGTAGCATGCTCACAGCCACCGCAGCCTTGACCTGCTGGGCTTATACAATCCTTCTGCCTCAGCCTTCCAAGTAGATGGAACTACAGATGCACGCCACCACGCCTGGCTAGTTTTTTTGTGATTTATTTTTATTTGAGTTGGAGTCTCACTCTATCACACAGACTGCAGTGCAGCGGCACAAACACAGTTGGGCTCAGGAGATCCTTCTACCTCAGCGTCCCAAGTAGCTGGGACTGCAGGTGCACGCCACCATGCCTGGCTAAATTTTTTGACTTTTTGTAGAGACAAGGTCTCACTATGTTGCCCAGGTTGGTCTTGAACTATTGGGTTCAGGCAATCTTCCCACCTGGGCCTCCCAAAGTGCTGGGATTACAGGCATGAGCTACAGCCCAGACCATTATATAAATATATATATATATTTGTTTTGTTTTGAGTTGGAGTCTCACTGTCATCCAGGCTGGAGTGCAG